ATCTACCTATCTACCGACCTATCTATCTAGCTATTTACCGACCTATCTATCTATCTATCTATCTATCTATATCTCTTTCTTTATTTCTTTTTTTTCTTTCTTTTTTTTCTATCTATCTATCTATTTATTTATTTATCTATCTATCTATGTATATCTTTATATATTTTTAAAAGTATATATACTATGAATGATAGAGTCGGACATTCTCTTGTCTTGTTAACTTGGGACTTTTGTCTCACCCGTTTTCTCCCGAAACGAGGGGGTTATCTCGTGGACTGCATCAACCTAAAGGTCGCATTGAAGCCAAACGACAGCATTACAAAGGGAATCAGCTGTTATCTTCTGGTGAAATCAACCTTCGAATCTCTTCTGCATGCACTTTCATCCGAAATGAAAGTTTCCCTAGCAATGTTATCTTGGGAGAATCATCGAAATCCGGTTATTCTTTGTTTTAATACATTCAATCTGCAGTTGGCTAAAAGAAATCAACCGTCCTCTTTTTATGGGATCCACACTTGAATCTCTTCATCACACACACTTTCACTGGAGATATAAGGGAACATAGCACTAATGAAACCGAGAGATCCAACTTTTATTCGCAAAAGTTACATCTGCCCTGTGACGCATGAGCACCCGTGACAATGTGGCGTTGTGATTGCATGTCGAAATTAAAAGCTACACTACCAAAATCCGCTTTCGTTTTCAGTTGTGGGTGCTGCTGATGTACAGGCGAGGCCGAAACTCTAGTTCATCCTGGAAAAGGGTACCCTTTTAAAAGCAAGGATATTTCAACTTCACTGGAGATATGATGACGAATAGCATTATTATGGGAAAATTCAACTATCAGTCCGTCATCACCTTGTGCAGCCTAGAGCAAGTAGAACTCTTATTTACACGATTTAATGATAGTCTCTAAGTTTACTTACTGTGAGCATTTTTCAATAGGCCTTTGTGGATAAAACAGAAAATACTAAAATTGCTGAAACTAGCTGCACACTTTACTCCGCTCGGTTGTTCAGGTATTGAAAAATGAGCAAAGGCTAAGATAGATCTGATCAGAGCGCATCTTCCCTCTACAGCGATGGTCTTTGTTTGTATTCTCTTATTATTGAGCACCAATCGGTACATGACATGCAGCTTTTCGTTGCTACAACACGGCAAACACATGATGTGTAGCAAACGGGCCAACTGGACATATTCAAGTGTCTGCTCGAACAAATTCAATAGACCAAGAGCACACATGCCTGCATGTTTCGACAGTTTTGCACAAACTCGAGCTTTCGTTTCGCCTAACCAGCCAAACTTGAGGCCTCAGCCACATGCATGTGAAAGCAGAGAGGTGGCGTCCGACTGTTTTGTTGAAATCCACAGCTTAAAGAAGATTTACTTTTCGAGGGTGTCTTGTCTTCGCTACTTGGTCATGTTGGTAGGAAGACTTAGAGAAACGCACCTTGTCCGGAGTCCATTGTCTGCATTATCATTTTCAAAGTCGGACCGTGGACGTGGTACATTCGCAGACGTTTCGCCA